AAATCATGACTTTGTCCTAAACTCCGGCTCGTCCATCGAAGTGGATCAAGAGAGCTTTGTTGAGTCTTCCCGAAAGAAACGCCACAGGAGCCATGGCGCACATGCGTTTAACATAGTTTAACTACTCTTACAATGCTCTGACGCCACTTGCGCTGGAAATGGAGGTGCCACTTGGACTGAAGCTCGGAAGCTGCCTGAAACTGGAAGCCTGGTGTGAAGCTTGCGGCCCTGCGAAGAACCCGCGGTTCAGCGGTCAGCGACGGTCAGCGGTGTGCGATGTTCCTCATCACAACTGAGCAGCCGGCATAGGGCCAACACCGTGACTGACCTGGTTGAACCTGCCATCCATTCGCAGCATAGCGGATTCTCAACCGTTCGAACGCAAAAGGTGCGAAGGGTAGGTACAGATGTTCACGCATATCGCGTTTCATGGCACCATCTAGTCTTGTCGAACTTCGTGAGAATGCGAAGGAAGGGGAAGTTCTCCTCGAGCAAAATCTATGGTTTGTTTGTCCCTGTTCCAAAGAACAAAAGTCAAGTAGCTTGATATAGCTTTGCATATAACGATCACACCAAGCGCTCCAGAACTTCCGAAGGGATCTTGTAAGATGAAGCTTCCTGAGCATCCCAAACAAGCGGAATCCTTCGACCTGGCGATATTCACCGTAAAAAAAACATGTCGAAAGGTGTCAGGTCTCCGCTGTCGCCTTGGTCACCTGAGTGCCCCACCAAGGACATAGGCCGGGTGCTGTTCAACGAAGCTCTCAATCGCCCCTGACACCCAATGGTGCTGTCCACGTGTCCAAATGGTGGAATTGAAGTACGAAGGAAACCAAAATGACCAGGCCGTAGCCAGGTCAGGCTGAAACAAACCAAACGAGATGGCCGATAGCAGTCGAGGCCCCGAGGCCCAGCCTGCATAATGCCGTGCCCTTTGAGACCTGCTTGCCAGATGATGTGGGGAGCCTTCATGAAGCCTGTGCTGAAACGTGAAGCCGCGCGATCTGAAGAAAGCAACACAAAGCGAGACTCAGACGAAGAGTTTGTGTGAAATGGTTCAAGCCTATTCCCACGTCCACAAGTGCCTTGAAACTTTGAAGTAAAGTTGAGGAAGCAGCCAGCATGAGCCTTCGAGTGAAGTGAACGAAATAAATCAGAAACTCAACAGCCGAGGCGGCCCCCAAGTTTGCATGGAACCTCATGGAACCACACCACACAAAAAGCACAGTTCGCGCACCTTGATGTAAGGGTTCTCCAGAATGAAAATCCCTTGAGTGTCCGGCTGGTCGATGACGAACTTTGGCGTCTGATCACGGCGATTCGCTCGCAGCCAGCGAAGCGATCGCGCGTGTCCCAAACCCGTTCGTCCCACACGGCACAGCGATGCACAAACGCACAAACGCACCTTGGATTCGTTCAGGAAGAAGTCCCAATTCCATCCAAAGTTGGAGACCTGGAGACTTCGCGCGTCGGCCCAAGAGCAAACCCCCGGACGGCCCATCGTTTCCCCAAAGCACCTAACGCACGAGGGTCCGTGTTTGACCACCAGTCCAACATAGTCCAACTGTAAGGGAGCAAAAGAAACGAAAAGGGTCGACCCGAAACGGCATCTTCCCGACCAACGAAGTCGACCGAAGATCGACGGCACGACCGGTCGACGCACCTGATCCGGATTGAAGCTCACGATACCGTTGTTTCTCTGCATGCTACCGCTGGACTGTCCTGGTGCTCGTCATACCGCTGGACTGTGATGGCAAGACAGGGACAAAAAATGGGTGAGATCTCCAACTTTTGAATCCGATCAAAACTGATATGTCCGGGTCAAACATCTCTCACCTGTCTCTCACCTGTCTCACCTTTTTCCGACTGAAGATCCTCATCCTTCTGACAAGTCCGGGAGTTCCGAAAAGCCCTTCCCCAGAAGACCAAACGGGCACCCGCTCCTGCCGACTGGATGTTGCCCGCACTGGGCTGAGCAAAGCCTCGGGCCCGAGCAGCAAACCGGGTTCGCCCAATGCCAAAACCAGCTGAAGAAGTCGGTTCTGAAACCCAAGAAGTGTCTGAACCTTGACGTGGCACTCGCAAACCTGGACTGAATTGGTGACAATCACGCACCGATCACCGCGCACCGGGTGCTGCCGAGGCACCGGGAAACTGGAAACCTTGAAGCCTTCGCGACTCAGAAGAGTGATCCAGGTACGATCCTTGGGGAAGGGGTCAAGGGGGTCAAGGGGAAGAAACAGAAGAAGTGTCTAGATGTCTCTTTTTTGTGCCTTGGCGAAATGTTGGTGCAGATTCAGTTTGGATCTAGAAGCATGAAGGGAAAAACAGAACCAAAGAAAGGCAGTGTGGGGTGGGAACCAACAAATGGACTGCAAAAGAGAACCGTGTTGCTCTCAGCATCTCTTCGTGCTGGGTTCCTGACGCCTCTCCGGCCACGGGTTGTGAATCTCCCGCGCCTGGCGCTGGAATTGTAAGCGAAGCGAAAGCGGCTTCAGGCTGCATGGCATTTCGACCCGGTCGATGCCAAAGACCAGAAACGAAGCGGTTAGGTTCGTTTCAGTTGTAAAGTAAATGTGATCAAAGATGTCAGTATGACCATGTATGGCCATTTTTTGCACCCAGGGCTCAAATAGCTTTCGATGGTTTAGCTTTCGACCGGTGTTCCGCACCTCTACGGGCATGTAGCTGAAGTTGTACTCGATATGCTTGGCTGTCCAACCCATATGGGGCACTGCCTCCAACCGTCCGAATTCATCGTATGTCACTCACATGGAAAAGTCACTGGCAAATGGTGAACTCGCAGGTAACCTGCGTGTGTGTGGAAGTCTCTCCGTCGCCTGCGTAGCGATGTGAAAGTGGAACATGTTTCCAATTCCTCCATCTGCCGTTCTCTTCCTCTTGACCTTGAGAAGCCCACAAAACCAACGGACAGTCCGATGAAGCAAGTATGCACCACTCAGTCACCCGCCTGTACAACCTTGTGGTACATTGCGCTTTCGGGCTGATGTTGGCAATTATGCACGAATGGCGAGCCAACAATGAATTTGCCCACTTCCAGGTGCCTGCGATTCAATTCAGCAGCTCTTTAAATATACAAGCTTTGCTAGCTCTTCAGGCAGCAGGTGATTTTAGCTTGGTCAATCATGCCAGGTGCGCTGAAGGTGGGAATGCGGAACAAACAACTCCAGCCTCAAGCCGCTCGTGAATTGAGCTTCCCAAGGAAATCCCAAAACCCCCATATCAAATCTACTAGGCATCCATCCAAAGAAAGGTTGGTACCATCCTGCTCCTCACAACTGAGCTCCAATTTTAGGGGCTTCGGAAAGCACCCTCCGGGCCGCCAGGCTCGTCCGGAGCACATCTTGAGATCTTGACCCCATGTTCCGCCTTGTTTGCACAGGAGTGGCACAGGGACACACTTGTTTGGCGGAGAATTGAAGAGCATCTCCATTTATTTGGATGGCTTTCAATCCGAGCACCTCTGTGTCTAGAGACAGAATTCGGTCAGGATCCACGTGCATCTTCCAGTTGAGCTCGATATCTGCCCCATCCTCAGGGCACTGTGGGCATGGTGCTGATGGGGCAGGAACTTTACATTTACATGACAAGCCAGAGCTTTGGGGTGCACGAGTCACGATTTTGGCAAGTCTGGACCTCCTCTTCGGCCCGAACTCTCGAGAAAACCAATGGCCCGAGGCTCTGCAAGACGCTTTTTGAAGGATCTTGAACACCATCGGTGACCATCCTCAAATCGGCACATGCGAGGTTGACTTGTGGACTTGTTCTCTGGCTTTCTCGAAATTCCAACAACGTACCCAAAAGAGTCCTCGTCAACAGCATCTGCGCAGTGGGGATGCAGTCGATGTGGCTTCAGTTCCTGAGATGAGATGAAGAGAATGAACAAAGGCACTAATGTCTGAGTCAAGTGGATGAACCGAACAAAAACAAAAAGGGCAGTTCGCAGATTGTTTGAACTCAATCTGCACAGCCTTGCCTCGACGTCTGCAAAGGGCACAAAGCTAGCACTCGTTTGGAGGAGGAGCAGGCCTCGACCCAGGTCTTCTGATACGTCTTGAGGTTGGTTGGTACAAGAAAACTCACCACTGTACCACTGTGACACCCGACACTAGGCATCTGGACCATGTAAGATGAGTACATTGTTGGCGTTGTACAACGTTTCATGTGGAACAAGGCCAAATTTGCCAATGCCTACCCTGCTACATGTACTTGACATGACTGGTTGGAGAAGAACAATGCCGCCGCAGAAGTCCAGGAGATTCCAGGAGTCCAGGCTGCACCACGCGAAGCGCGCCATGCGCAAGAGATCTTGCACCTGGCTCAGAAAAATATGACTCACATTGACGAACGATGACGAACGCTTCCACTGGAGTGGCAAAGGCCAATCAGGCCAACCTTTAACGTGGACAACTACAGCACGGAAAACGAACTTGGAAGCTGATAAACTTTGCAATTCAAACGCTATTAGGTGGAGGCCATCGCAAGTAGGTTGGAGGCCATCACTACTAGTAGCAAGAAGCTACTATATAGTAGACCCGCCCCGAAAAGACTCTTTCCTCAACAAACTGGTGGCTTTCAGCGTCCAAAGGCGCGCTGAACCGATTCTGTTCAATCTCGCCGGCTTCACCGGTGCCCTGCAGATGCACCACCCAAAAGACTTGAACCAAAGAAAGCTGAGACATCGCAATCTGATAGCCACGTCAACTAAAACAGATCATAGTAAAGGAAGGTAAGGGCACTTGACCCAAAAGATCTAGGAACCAAATAAATAGTACCAGAGCGATATTCTTGCGTCCCAGCTACTAGTAGCGCTACTTATATACTAAGTAGCCGCTCCCTACTTCGGCCTACCTCCCCTCCTCAGCTCTAAAAACAACAACTACACCATGTGGAGAGACGTTTGTGGAGCCCATGAATCTAGCTCAAGTTCGCCGGAAGCCACGCCCGACTCTAAGGAACGCAGTCGCTGGGCTCGTGGCCAGGTTCACCGCAGTCAAAGAAGTGCATGCTTTAAACCTTCCGCGAAAATGCGCCAAATCCATTGGCCCCGAAGTGGAACGGCAGAGTCGAAGCGCCGAAGCGCTGCCGAGGACTTGACATGGCAGAGACCGCCTGGCGACTGCTTTGCTCCGTCAGTGAGCCGTTCCGCACGACGAAGACCCATGAAACGAAGGGAGGAACTGTGTAGTCAGCACATTGGAGACGAAGTGAGCATGGTGGACATGATGTGGCGTCGTTGCCTTCCTCGCGCCTGTCCGGTGAGCTGTGGGCAATGCATCAGCCACGCGATTTCAAGCTCCGGATGCTCGACCTTAAGTTACTTAGTTACGGGTGCACGTTTAATTTTGGATTTGTTTCATTTGTTTTCGGGATTTTTCAAAAACATTGGAATAGAGCAGGTTTCTTATTAGTACCTATAGCTAATTACAGCAATTTCGTGTCCTTAGCCGAGACACAGGTGTCGTAGCTGGCCAAATACATTGGAATAGTGTAGGTGTCAGAGAAAGTCCTACGTTAGCAGAGAAACAGTAAAGAGAAAGAGAACCAGCACAGGAGGCATATATGACTGGTTAGAAGTTTATGCCCCGCAAAGTTCACCTTAAAATATTGATTTCGTGGCAGGCGCGGGTGTCGGAGATGAAGTGCAGATTTCGTGGCGCGGGGGTTGGGGGGGGCGCAGCGCCCCCCCCAGCAGCACACCAGATCCAAAGGTTAGAAAGCAAACAGATGGAAAAGCAAAAACAAAAAGAGAAAGGAGAACAGCTGCCAAAGCAGAAAAGCAACAAAAGCAAAGAGCAGAAAGACAAAAACACAAAAAACAGAAAAGCAGCAGAAGCAGAAAAGCAGCAAAAGCAGAAAAGCAACAAAAGCAAAAAAGCAGCAGAAGCAGAAACCCAGCAAAAGCAGAGTCCGAAAAAATAGAAATTAAAAAATAACACGAAAAAAAGAGAGCGGGACGCTGTGGGGGTGCGCTTTTTCCATGCTTTATGATGGTTTATAATTGTTTTTTCAGCTTTTTGTCTTGCTCACATCTTGCGTCTTTGTATTAGCTGTGATCGACGTGATCACATGCACATGAAAATTGTCTCTACTCAAGCGCCTCACTTCATGGCCTTCATGACGTTCTTCACCTTCATACCCTTCACCTTCATGCCCTTCATGACTTTCTTTACCTTCATTCCCTTCATGGTGGTCTTCTTCACCTTCTTTCCCTTTGGAGTCTTCTTGTTCTTGGAGCAATTGTACGATTTGCTTGTCGTCTTGGACTTGCTGTTGGGGATGGAGCGAAGATATGAGGCGCTGCCATGTAGGAGTGCATCATTGTGCCTCTTTGCGAGCCAAAAAAGTAGAAATCTATGCCACGCCTATTCTCACGCATTTCATTGATCACGGGGGCATAGTTCTTGAACCAGGCAAACACCTGCTCTGCCAAGTTGGTATTGACGCCTTTCACACGTTGTCCCAACGATCTCTTGATACGTAAGGTGTCCAGGCAATCTTGGTTGGTGTTTGTTAGTGTGAATTTAATACTTTCTGACTCTCTTAACATTGGGTAAGTTGTAGAGTTTGCTAAGCAGATGAAACCAATGAAACCACCAAGGTATGCAGATTTGCCAAGATGCGGGGGTTGCAAGAGCACTGCGTGCCATGACGGTAGGCATGGAACTTGTCCACGATGTAATACTGGATTTGCTCCAGACCAGGTGTGACCTCTGCGGAAGGTTTGAGGGAGCACGCGCGGTCATATACAAAGCAATCAGCCTTGGGATATAGCCATAGCATGGACTGCTGCATGTGAATGGGGTTCTCATTTTGCTCGGGCTCATGCATCACTGCTATGTTCAAGATTCTGCTACTACGAGGATCACAGATCATGAACCAGCCGTTGGATCGCTGACCCACTGTGTTCGGACTGGCGGGGGCCACCTGCTCTTTTCTGTGGTTCAACTGCACATCGGGGCTTCAACTTGAGAGTTCCATCTCCCACCAACGTTGTCACAAGCTTGCGGTTCTGAGGTGGAAAAAGTGAACTCGAGCAAAATGCTGTATAGAGGTCCAAGTGCTCATTACTGATTTCGTTATCAATGACGACACTCTTGTGCGCTTTGAGTTTTTCAAGCTCTTCAATGGCAAGGTAGTAGAAAATCCCCGTGCCAAGCAGCTTGCGGAACCGGGTAGCAATCTCCGCATCTGCATCACCATGGACCGCTTCATAGGCGTGCTCGATGGCCCTTGCTGACAAGTGCCCACGAAAAAGAAGTTCAATGTGGTAGCGCAGGTACTGGACGGTAAAGGCCGTTTTGGAAGTAATGAAGAGAATGTTGTCTTTGAGGTCTTTCATCGACAAGACAATTACCTTGCTTCCATTTTCCCACCTGTAGTTGTAGCCATAGTTGGAACGGCAATTGCGTGATCCACAACACACTTGAACATGTGTGACCTCAAACGGACCATTCAGATCGTAGCACATTGCATCCACTTCCTTGTGGTAGACAAGGTTGCCATCACATCCTGGACACTGACACTTCTAATGGACACACATACTTGTTGGAGACGGAAAGTGCACCTCCTCGCAGAGTATACGGCAAGGCCTCAAAGGACGAAGGTACAGCATGGCCATGGACAAGCTTGAAGACATAGAGCATGGGATCTAAGCTAATGTCAGCGAGAGAACTCAAGGGAAGATGTGTTGCCACACCTGCATCAAGCTTCACAGCCAAACCCTCCACATGGCGTACCGCAAAGAAATGCTTCTTCTCATGGTCTAGTACGATGTATTTGCCCGGTCTGAGTGGAGCGCCATGACGAAGGTATTGAAGTCCAACTCCAAGAGGTTTGAGCATTTCGCAACCATCCATAGCAGTGAAAGGCCCATCACGAATGCACTCCACAGGACAGCCAAGCTGCCGCAACGCTTCAACCAAACATACATCTTTGAAGCCTGGACCAGAAGAATCCTGAGAAACAAGGTCACCACATCCACCTGCCTCGTTCATGGCCGACTCGTAGTCCACGTCGAAAGATGGCGCTTCTCCAACCCTGGGGAAATGATCAGACTCTTCTTCTGCAGAAGGTGCAGCAAGGTCATCTTCACTTTGAGGGAGGCCAGGAGAGTGGGTTGAGCACTGCTGTTTGGGTAGCTCGCTTCTTTGGAGAAGGTGAGGGTGTGTCCAGCTCAATCAACTGGTTTGGAGCATCACGAAGGTGTGTAAAGATCTCCGGCTCTCTCTTCACAAGCACTGGCCGCGACCAATCGACAATGACCGGGTCATTGTCACAATTCACGGCATCTTTAGCGCATTCTCTGGCAAGCCATGCATGGCCCTCGTGAAATTCTTCAGCTTCCATTTTGATGCGCCCAGGAGGCAAAACCACAGATGAGAGAGAAGAATCTGCAATCCCAAAGTTGCCTACAGGAGGTGGACATAGCTGTTGAACCGAAGAAGCCGAACCCGAAGCCGTTGCTCCATGATCAGCGAGCAGAAGAGCATCAACCAAAGGAGTTGGCTCACGTCCTTCTGCTGCCGCAGGTTGTACAGGATGGTCATGCTTGCGAGGGGCTTCAGCGAGCCAGGCACACTCCCAAGCAACAGATGCCTCAAAGTCTTCTGGCGGTGGCCCGCCCGCCTTCATGTTGGCGATGTCCTTTTTGCAGGCATCCGTCAAGATGTCGCCCCGAGGCCAGTGCAAGCGCTCAACTTTGACCTTCCTTTCTGTCGGAAATCGAAAGTAGATGTTCTCCTTGGTGAAGAGCAAGAAAGCTGCACGCTTCAAGACTGCCATCGAATCTGCATCCGATACATCACCAATGGCTGGCCTGACCATTCTGAGGAATGCTTCGTGTTCAATTTTGTTGTCGATGTCAGCATTGGTGGGCTCCCTTTCTGGATCATACTGGTTGTCACAGACAATACGAAGTTGATGCCGAACGAACTTGGCGGCGTTCCAGCGTTCTTTTGTAATGGTCTCCTGATCGCCTACATCACTGAAGGCTTTCTTCTTCTTGATAGTTTCATTGCCGATGGTCCCATCGTCGAAGATAGCCGGGCAGGTCTTCTCAAAGAAAAGACCTCGAAAGAAATCAAACTCCGATGCAGTGCGAAATGTACCTGTGCCCCCATAGTGGCGGGAAAACATCATAGCAATGATCCGGGCTAAGGGCGTTTTTCCGACACCAGATTGACCAAGAAGCCACAACGAGTGAAGCCGAAGATGTGGAAGAATGCGTTCGAGCATGCTGAGGAGGTCAGGGTGAAGGGCGGCAATGGTCAAATCATATCTGCTGATGAGAGCAGCCAAGGCACCATCATTGGCCAAGCTGTCCAAGCCTCTTTGAACGAGCTTTTCATTCCACCCGTTGATGGGACTTCCATCCCGCTTGATGTGGCGATGGATCCACAGCAGTTGCTTCAGATTGCTGCGGCCCCGCTCTCCATTGGCAATGATAAAATCCCATCCTGCGTCTTGCTCATCTTCCGGCAACGCAGCCACCGCACTCGATGCTTTTCGCTTTTTAGCGGAAAGAGAGAAATGCCGAAATTGATGTCCTCCAAGCTGTTCCAGCATGTATTGCAGGCCTCGACGGGCTTGTTGCTTGTTCACCTTGGCCCAACCGATTTCAAATCCACGACCTTGAAGCAGACGAGCAATGTAGGAACCTTGTCGTCCTTCACATAGTAGTGCTTCACCAGGCAGAGGTTACCGTCGGTCTGAGTGAGCACAAAGTATTGGGAAATGTATTGAAAATGGGGGCGTTCTTTGAGTTGCAGGACTGGAGGGAGCTCATGCCATGCCTTATCGCGGATGACTGCCTTGAGATTCTCGACGTTGATGTGCTCATGGCTGACATCGTAGATGATGTCGAGAAAATGCTTGATCGATGCACTTTAAAAGAATTCGTCTCCGCGAGTTACGCTAACTATACCAAATTTTTTAGAATCATAAAAATTTCACAAGGCAAGACGCTCCTTCACAGGCAGCGTTAATGGGGTCACCAAGCCTTGCGGAAGAGGCCCGACATGGACGTGAGCAGGTAGTTCCCTGAGCAAGAGATGCTCCGTAGCATCGATTGCCGAAGTCAAACTCATATTCTCGGGGTCCACGGCCATGTGAGGATACAAAGTACTACGCAACTAGCAGAGCAGATTGCCTTGAGATCACAAAATCTATCACACAGAATTCTTTGCAAAGCCAAAGAGGCATTTGGAAAGAAGATGATGCCTGATTTTCAGTTGAATTTTTGACATTGGATGGTGTGGCAGAGATTTCATGCGTGATTTTTACTTTTGTGTGGAGATGTGATGATTGATTGATGGAGGCATTCCCAGAAGTTTCAATTCCTTACCAAAGCTTAAGAATATCCAAAAAATCCAAAAATCCAAAAAAAACAGATCTATGTTTGGCTCAGGAATAGATGTGTGTTTTTTTGGATTTTTGGATTTTTGGATTTTTGGATTTTTTGGATTTTTTTGGATTTTTTGGATTTTTGGATTTTTGGATTTTTTGGAATTTTAGATTCCTTGTTTTTTGTTTGTCTTTTTGTGGTTGTTTCTAAATTCTTGATACCTTCCCAGCAGATTGTGCCACTTAACAAGTGTGTGTGTGTGTGTGAGAAAGCAGATGTCTTTTGATCACATACTCTTTTGGCTGATTTTGTGTGTAAAACATTGGAAAAAAGCGCACCCCCACAGCGTCCCCTTTTCAAAAAAAATGCCCCTCCCTTAGTTACTTTCCAAGAAAGCAATCGGTGGAAAACGTGACGGCAGAATTGAGAGTATGTATAGAAGAGCAACTCCCTTCCGAACGAAGGGTGCAGGAAACCATGTTCTCTCTATGTGCTTGATCTCATGTGTAACAGAAATGCTGGAGGCCCCCGACGGTGGGAGCCAAGAGGCTTCTGCATTCCGACAAATCCAGAAATCTCAAGCCTGCCAGCACAGCTCGGATCTCAAGTCTTATGCCACAGCTCGGTCTGGGTCTGGCAACGAAACCTGCTTCACAGACTGGGTGTGGGAGCCAGCTTTGGGCGGCCCATAGCACGCTAATGCGGTTTTTTGCTTTTATTTGCTTTTGACACTTCGGTGCCTTTCAATCAAAACAGACTTACGACTTCCAATCGGTTGAGTCGTACTTCCTGTGCGTCTCGAGTCGTCTCCAGTCGTCTCCAGTCGTCTCGCTGGGCTTCACGCGAGGATTGTTCGCTGGCGAGAGGATCTCTGTGGCACATTGGTCTGTGAGCTGCCGGCAATGGGTCACCTGGCCACATCGAATGGAGAGCCCACAGGTTCCGAGCGATCGGTCATGATTTCACAGCGACCGGTCATGAGGGGCCCGGCAGACAGGAGCTCCAGCTTTGGTAAAGCAAAAGAAATGTGAGACATGTGGGATTTGGCGATGTAGAGTGACCTGGGACTGCCAGGTCAGCCAAACACGAAAACACACGCAACACACACTTCGTGACCACGACCGAAAAACGCCCTGAGAGCAAAGCCGGAGATTTTCGCATGCCATCAAGAGCTTCGAGAGCTGCTCATCTGGGAGGTTGGTAATCTGGCGGCTTTGGAACCGCAAAGCGCTGCGAAAGCTCGCTTTTGCTGCGACAAAACATTGAAAGGAAAAAGATTAAAGCAAACTTGCCGGCAGCGCCCCAGTGAGGCTCAGGCTTGTGAGGTTCTGTGAAATGTTGCTTGGAATGCTCTGCAACTTGCTATCCACCTGCGGTTTCACCAACAGAAACTCCATGAAACTCCATGAAACTCCGGACCCGGGAGGTCGCCGTCCGTCTCGCCGTCTTGCCGGGCCCCCCCCACCACTTGAAGTCTTCGCAGTCTGGGACTCACCGAGAAGAAGGACTGGACCATCTCGTCCGAACAACTGCCAGCAAGGCCGATCGGAAGCAGTCCGGCCGTTGAGGATCTGTGGATGATCGGCTGTTTTTTCGGATGAAACGAATCATTCATCGAATCGCAGCAAGGAACCTTCTCAGGCAGAGAACGTGCAGACTGGGGGTTGCCTCAGCAATGATCATGCGAGGGAGATCCGGCATTGAATGTTCCATGGTACTATAAGATCGTTGCGATGGCATTGCATCCATCCATTATAGTCGGATACAGTATGTACATGTGTGTGAGGCCATGTGTGTCTTCACACAGACTTGCCCCGCATGTCTCTTATTGAAAAAGAATGGTCTCTCTGACGGTCTCTGAGACGATCACCTGCCAGGAGGGGCGAGAATTCGGATTCGGATAGCCGCCTTGTGGGTCCTGCCCGAGAGGCGACTCTCGGCCCGGACATCCGCCGATGGTTCCGTTCCGCCGATGGGCGACACTCGGGTCGTTTCGGCAGCGACACGGGTCGTAAGTCAGCTGAAATGGTGGATGAATGTTGATGAGTGACCTTGGTAGACACAGCTTCCTCAATGGGTAGAAATGATCTCCACATGTTCACGAGGAGATGAAGCTTGTCCACCTATATACCTTGGGGGTACTGTCCGCTCACGTAAAAGAAATACTACAAATACTACATCTACGATTGTGTCAGCTGACATCTTGGCAACACTCACCTGACATCGTTGATGAGCCGAGCTGACACGTCCTTTTCGTCCTCGGGCATCAACGATAGTCTCCGAACCTCAACGGAGCGCACAGTCTCTCAACCTGCGTTGAGACGGTCATCCTCTGTGGCCGTGGCCAAAGACTCAAAAGTTCTGTCGAGGTTCGGATGGGAACATTACTACGTTCGCTTCTTGTTACTACTAGTAAGGCACCTGTTACTACTAGCGATGCACTTGTTCCTAATAGCTTCTTGTTCCTACTACGCACATTCGGATGACACTCGTTCTTCGAAGAGTAGGCACACCATGCGAGTGAAACGCGCCAATGAGCAGACCCGAAATGAGCGGAACAAGCGCTCCGCTGTTCCAGCCAAGGAGCGCAAAAGCGGCACAGGAGTTGCTCCACCTCTCGGGCACTGACCTGGCTCAAGGCGGCGATGTGTTGGGTCTGTTCAAGTTGCAAACGATATCTTAAGCTCAAATGACTTCAAATAACATGAAATGACTCAAACCATCTCAAACCCATCTGGCCCACCATGTTCTTTCTCCACTGCCTTAAACTCAAAGACGAAGCTGCAGCGAGTATTTGGAGGCAATCGCAGCTCCTGGATCGGGGCCAACATCGCCAAGAGCCCCAAAAAGGACCCAAAGGTCCAAAAATAATTCCACCAAAAAGTCAAAGACTGTAAAATGATGTGAAATGATGGTAAACCTCTTGGGTGCGAAGCACGTGTCCCTCTTCCAATACCAAATTCAAGGCTTACCCTCCCTGCACCCAGCCAGGTTGGTTTGGCCTCCAAGAGCACTCGGAATTTCGCTGCCTGAGCGCGTTCGAGGGCCGATGCCAGCGGTGTTCGGTTCACGTCTGAGGCCCGTGGCATTCCGAATCATGCACTCAAAGTATTTCAATCGCGGGTGCCGCGAGATCCTGCGACCAAAAACGAGTGGCCAAGTGACCACTGACTCTGTGGATTGAAATCCCAGATTCGGATCCTCAGAATGATCAGAATGTTGAGAAAATAACGAGAATAAAACAAGAAGGGGAAAAAAATAAACGACAATGCGACACAATAGCTCGGTCAGGATCAACCTCTAATTGGTGGCTTGTGGATGGTCGGCATGTGTATCATTCTATCATATTGTATCAGGGCGAGCATGCCAAATATGCCAAGTCCAACTTCCGATTCCAGCGCTCTCGGCTCCAGTTGTTCAGAGCAATGATCTCGTCTCGGTCACGCGAGCGGCTTCCACCTCGGAAAAAGTCGGTCGAGCGGGTCAGCGCTCATTTCGACAGCCCGGGCACCGGGCCCAGCCCACAATTGTCGTCATAGTTAAAAGTCAAGCACCTGATGCGTCGCAAGTTCTTGGGCCGGATGAGACGCGGATGAGGCGACAGGGTCACTCTCACAAGACTTCGACGTACTTCGACACACCATCTTGAAAGCGACAGGGTCTGCGTGTGTTTTTTCTCACAGAAGGGAAGCATAAATAAGACATCAGACTTAAAACCAGTTACACCGATCCTGTCTCTGACAGATTCTTCTCCGTCTCCGACCGTTGACGCGCCGCATCGATCCCCCGCTGATCCCCCGGCTCTTCATCGATCTGGTCGCGGAGCTCCCGACCTGACCGCTCGGACCACGGGAGGAGCTCTCGGACCAGACCGGCAGGGTCCGAAGCATCTCGGACCACGTTCGTTGCGAGGGTGGCCTCCAACCTAATAGCGATGGCCTCCACCGTGCGTAGCATCTTGCTACTAGTAGAAGCACTCCAAGATCATGACAAGCAGAGCGGACAATGCTCAATTGGATGTTGACCTGGCATCCGAGTCGCCCAAAATATCAGCAAAGCATGTCGCTGCAGATCTGACACCCCCTGCTGAAATGCGCTTCGCTGCTTCATTGGCCCCGCTGTAGCACAGCAAGTCACCCACAAGGTTGAAGAGAATCTGCGACCTGCGGGTCGAAAGCAAAGCAGTGCGATGAGTCCGAGAGGTTGTCCAACAAGCTGTGTCAGGCTGTGTCCGGCTGTGCCTGATCGGGGAAGTCAAATCCAGAAATGACCAGGGCCTTGTCGCCCAGCCAGTGTCTTTGCCACAAAGCATGAATGATCAAGAAATCATGAAGGTCTGAGTATGAGACGAAGCCAACATATCCAAAATGGATCAGAACTGCTTCATTTTAATCTTAATCTTAATATCTATCAACTAATTGAGGACTTGACGCGGAAGAGGAAGAGCTCACGGCTCCTGACCTGTTCAAGCACAGCATTGCGACATCGGCCCGGTTCACCGGCACAATGAAGTGCCGTTCCTCTGAGTAACGGACTGAATCAGAGGCTCCGGTGGAGGCCATGGAGGGCACGCCTGGCAACACTGGACCGTGGAATTGACATGGAACCACTGCAGTTATTCTCAGTTCAGTTCTTGTTGGAGACGCACATAGAACTAAGAGTCGCATATCACGACTGAGAGCTCTGCATTGCAACAGTTGCACATCACCCACATGCACACACGCGTGCGCGCACACACGCACACACATACACACACAAACGCACACACCTAGAATCTGAATTCCAGCACCAAGCGGTAAGCAAATCCAAACAGGTCGGAAGAACACTTGGCCGCGAGCCAGGTATCATGCTAGCTATACTGGATGTGCTTGCTATGCTGAATTGAACAGAATAGGCTTGCACAAATGGACGAAAGAACTTCAACCAGAAAGTACACCTCTACTGATATCAATTAGGTTGCTGCAGAGACAGGTACATATATATATATATACTGTATATCATCGAGCACTGGAAATGTCAAAAATGCACCATGTCTGTAAAGTTTGAGCCAGCCTATGCTGAGGAGAAACGCATTTCCGAGCCAAGCACCTTTGAACAAAATTGTAAAACAAGAGAGAATTTCCCAACCTCAGCAAAAAAGGAAAGAAGCAAAAGCAGCACCAGACCGATATTGTGTTTATGCACTAGGGGCTCCTGGCCTTACTACGAGGAACAAGCTTCGCTACGAACGGGGCTCCTGGCATCGCTAACCGAACGGAGCCGATCGGACGCTACGTCCGAACCTGCCTTTGGACCACGTCCGACCCCCCCCTTTTTCACGGGCGATCCCACAGGTCCCACTCGCTGCAATGCCGCAGCCCCTCGGCCGGGTCGCCGCGTGGTGCGTCGCCACCCGCCGCGGTGCGGGAACGGCGGGAACGGCGGGGGACCGAGGGCTCGGCGACGCTGAGCGCCGTCTTCTCGTAGACCCGGACCCAGCTGTTGGGCAGAGCATTCCACCTGGAGAACTCGGAGAGTTGTCGAAACAAAGAACTTGATATGAGAGCATGGAGGAGGAATGGGGGATGCAGGTTCTATGTGGTGAGGGTGGATGCCCTCTTGACTCTTGATGTTTCTTGGAAAAGTATGTTGGAAGTTGTTTTAAATTCGAAAGCCGATAGTTGAGAACTGATGTATACTGTTTTTCGGTTCCAATCCTACTATAGCTGAAGTGATGTTCACCATTGCGATGACCTTGATTTTGGGTGGATCCAACGAGCCAAGGTCTGTGCCGTCGGGCCAATGGTTTCAAAGCTTGCTCGCCATCACGGCCAAGGCTGCAATGCCTTGCAGGCTATCGGTGGGCACTCAACTGATGCGCAGGGTAGTCCTGGGTAGTCTTGGGCAGTCCGCGATCCGTTGTATCAACCAAAGACGATTGGTTGCACATCGCGTATCATTGTGGACCACCGAACAAAATCCATCCAAATCCAACCTACAGCCAATCGGTTCTATATATAGTATAGTATAGTCTAGTCTAGTATCGTAAGTATATGTAATTATCCTATCGTACAAGTATAGTATAGGGTATAGGTTTCCTGAAATAGCAGGTGTTTGCCGGGATAGCAGGAGTGTTCTGGACACTGAGAGACGCCTACAATAACGGAGCTGCAGGAAATGCGGACTGTTGTTGCCAATCGATGGCTTGCTCCCACTGCCTCAAAGAGAGGTTCATGCAAGATAGCGTTGTCGGAAGATGTGCGGTCAGCGCTCTCGCCTAAGCGCTCGCAATCATGGTTCGATGCTGAGCACGGTTCGATGCTGTGCCGGGTTCCTGATTGACATGGTCGCGTGACACAGTACAAGACCATAAATTCCGGTCCATGAGTGACTAGTATACCTTTCCTACTTGGACTCCGAAGGTTGAAGGATGTTGAAGGTCACACAGAACTGACTTGGCCGCTGCTATTGTCACAGACTCCAGAAGGTTGGAAGTCCTCCCAGATAGTCGAACATCAAAGTTCTGTTCGCACCTTCTTTTTGCGGGCACGCAGGGTCAATGGCACCCAAAAGCTTGAAAATCGGGCTCAAGACGCAAGCATACCTGATCATACCTGATCTATCCTTCCTGGCCTTCGGGCATACTGGTGCTCAGTAGCTTTCGCACGACGGCCCGCAGTTTGTCTTCACTTAGAACCGGCTTGCCATGCAAAAGGGACAAGAGGATCTGCTCATCCCGCTTTGGAAGCCAGTTCGTGCGCCCGCATCTCAAGACCCTGCAAATCATTCGACGTAGGGCATGCCTGCAGTGTGTGAGGCCTCGTGCACCCCAAGCGAAGCCCCACACGTCGGAGGCCGAGATGCTGTCTTCGCTGTCTGGTCCGATTGGAAGAGATACAAGAAGCTCTTTCAAGGCATCACCCTCCAAATCTGCCAAAGGTCCAGACAGCAGTTCCAGCAGTTCACCCACCAGTTTCTGCTGCAAGAGCTTGGTCAGTCGCTGTGCCCTCGCACTGAGGGGAATTAAAACACTCACGCTGTGCTGTCCACTGCTCGGATCACAGCCATGACTCACAAAGACCACTTCGGCACCCTGTCGGCGCCACAACTTGATCAGCCATGCCGTGGCACCGAAATGCGCGGCCACCGCATCCACTGCCTCCGTCTTCAAATGCCTCAAGCTTTCTCTCAACAAGCGCTCGCCCAGCCCCGAGCCACGCAGATCCGGGTGCAAACACCAGCGCATCATGCGCACGTAGCGGAGCCGCGACGCGTCCAACAGCCCCGCGTCGCGCGAAAGGGTTTGCGCCGTGAGGTTCTGAGGCACTTGACAGCGACCCAGCCACAGCTCTTGCGCCTTCCGAAGGTCTTCCACCGGCTCTTCAATGCCCGAAATGGTGATCCCAATATATGTTTGTTGATACTTCATGCCCAGCCAAATGATACCTGCAGCATCTAAAAATGTTTCGAGGTCAGAAGGTTTCGTCTTGTAGTGCCCCACGCGCAACAAACCATAGATCTCTTTGAAGGTGTGCTCTTGAACTCCTTCACGGTCCACCCTTTCCACTTGCGCACCTCTGACAATTTCTTCCCTTTCGCAGTTCAATTCGACAGGTTTCGCATCCAACAGCAGCGCTGAGCGAGACAGGGCCTGAACACAGCTAGAGGATGCACAAGTTCACCCAATCACTACACTATAGTCACCGACAAAACACATTGGAACCCAGTCTCAACTCATGCACTGAATCTACTGCAACAGCAGCAGCCCTCAAGCGCTCAAGAATGCCATTCGAACAGGAAAAACCACACTCTGGAGCACGCAACAACCAATATCACAACCCCCCATACAACCACCCACACACCGCGCACATCTCTACGCCTCCATCTTTTGGAGGCCCAAAAACCTAGGCGCCCTGATGGCCCCAAAGCTTTAAGCAAAACGTGCACAAGAAAGCCTCTTATACACCGCCACCCCACCGGCTCCCCAGCGACAAGCCGCATTTACGCCAGCGTGCTGTCCTCCCCCAAGTGCAACAGACTCACGCAAACGCACTTTTCGCCAACGCCGTGCAAAACCGCATGGCACAGCAACATCGCAGACGGACTTTGGCCACACGGCGCGCCACACACTATATACAACCATGTCACACACAGCCTCGTATACACCGCCACCCCACCGGCTCTCTAGCGACACGCCGGCATTTACGCCAGCGTGCTCTCCTCCCCACACAGACTCACGCAAGCACACTTTTTCACCGACACCGCGCAAAACCGCATGGCACAGCGACATCACAGACGGACTTTGCCTACACGGTGTGCCACACACTACATACAACCATGTCAGTCACACCCAGCCTTTTTTGCACCGCCACTCATCCGCCTCCTCCCACAAAATTCGCATGTCGCTGCACGCTTGGGCACTCGACACACCGGATCCCGCGAGAGGGTCGGGCATTCGACAGGCCGGATCCTGCGAGAGGATTGCTTCCCGTGCTCTCTCGCTTGGTCCGCCCTGGCTTTAAAGATAATGAAAGGTTCAACATGTCAAGACAAAAACTTGGTGAAGTCTCTTGCAAGTGCTAAAACTTGGTCAAGTCTCTCGCAGGTCCAAAAACTTGGTCAGTTTTCTTGCAAGTGCTAGAACTTGACCAAACCTTGGTCAAGTCTCTGGAAAATGCTACTCATTGGTCACGTCTCTTGCAAATGCGAATTTAATCTAAATTTGATCAAGTCTCTTGCAAGTGCTAGACTCTTACCAAGTGCTAAAGCCTGAGCAAAACTCTTACAAGTGCTAACAAGCGCTTAAACCCTGAGATAGACAGACCAAGTGCCTTTAGGAAGAGCCCTTCGACCAAATCTTTCGGGAAAAAAGCTCTAAGGACCTCTCGCGGCCTCCAAAGGACATCCCTCGGTCCAACGCCACGAGGTCTTCAGCTCGTAGACCTGCAAGGCCGGACGCAGCCGTCGGAGCCTCGGCAGCGCCCGGACCAGGAAGCCGTTGCCGCTGCCCTCGTAGCCTTGACGGAGGTCGGGAGCAAAGAGGACGGAGAAAGGCGGAGAGGAATGATGGGAGGTCGGGAGCGAAGAGTCACAGTGGGAAAATGGCAAAGAAGTTGCAAGAAAATCGGATTTTTTGGCCTGGAATTGGTTGGAGAAGACTTGTAGGAGATGCTCATGTAACTCATGTATAATCATTTACATATCCCTGTAAAGTCGTTTGGTTCTGAGTTTGTGGGGAAGCGCACGTGCGCTGGCGATATCTTTTTTTCCGTGGATCTGCCTTGACACAAAAGGAACAGGAGGTGCCCT